GGCTTCCTGAGGAGTGAGGAGGGGCGAGTGGAGGGAGAGGCGGGGGGAGTGCACAGAAGGAAAAGGAGTTCATAGCGGCAACAAGGGCAAAGGAGAGAGTGGGCCTCCTTGGAGGGGAGAGGAGGGGGGCGACGCGGTGCGGGAGAGAGTTTTCTTCAGTCTTAACTTTAAACCCGGACTTTTGTAGCACTGGTGTCTGTGCCAATGACGAAAAACCTATCCACCCCCCTCCTCTCCTCTCTCCTCCCCCCGCATCTGCCTACGTCTGAACGATATACAACAAACGCCCGCTGACAAAATTGTCGATGTCGCTCTCCCTTTTTTTACAAGATTATTTGGAAGGACGCCGACAGCAGCTTTGTCTCCCCTGGCAGTTTTGTCGCTTTTCAAATCCATCAACAAAACAAGTAGAAACGAAAGAATTTTCTTCTCCACTTGTTCTACGCTGGATTCGAACCCTCAATCGAACCATCACGAGATTAGCGCCATTTTCCACTTAGCCTTCTCGCTGGCCCGGACTACTGCTGGGCAAAATTCGCGCCTTCTGATCCCGGTCCAGTACTCAGTTAAATGAGCAGCGTGCAGGATATCATTACGACCACGCGGAAAAGTGAAACCCGATAACTACGACAGCTTCCTCTTTTTGCCGACAAACGGTAGATGTCACGCATTAGCGAATGGTACGCACGAGGAAGTAAACGATCACTGTTGTGACGGTCTCGAAGAGGTGGCGCACATAAATCGAACAGGTGCCTGGCACTAACTGGAGGTATGCAGTTCAAGGTCGAATAGCAGCCCAGCATAACTGCACCCAGTGAATGCTACGTAATTGACATCCATGTATAATCTAGTGATTATATATAACAATGAATATAATTACTTATTACAGAGCGATTCAACTTATCAATGATTAAATGAGATAATCACGTGATGGAAGAAGCAAGTAATCAACAGGTAATAATCTAGAAATTATAACTGTAAAATTCTACAACTTTTCTATTTCTTCTATTTGCTTATGGTCTATCATTTCTTCCATTTCTTTCATTTCTTTTGTTTTACATTTCTTTTATCTTAATTAATCTACACCTCACTAAATCATTTTGTTACCACAATCGTCGTACTGACGAGGTCCAACGGCAAGAAATGTATGCGACTTAATGGACCGAAACATTTCTTACTTATAACAAATATTTCTTTAGATCCCTTTCCCATTTTATTATCCTTTCATCCTTTTCATTGCTCCCCTCTGCTCCTGATATTTCTTTTCAACCTTCAATGGGAATATCCCTGCATCTTCACTAATATGGAATACCCACACTGATTCCCAAAGCGGTCTTAATATTGGTCTACTTTATAGCAAAATGATGTTTTCGGTTTAAAAAAAATTCATTGGTTAAGCTATACTTTGCATGTGATTTCCAGGCCGTACGAATCCTCGCCACGGCTTACAGTTGAATAACCAACTTTTTCCACACGTGAAATGCATCCAAGTGGCACATCGAATTGACAGCACTAAAATTCTACCTTTTTTTTAGCATATTTCACTGGTTTATTTAATAAAAGCCTGTGGTTTCTTCTGCTTTTTTTTGCGAAGAGCAACAATTATGACAAGCTATAAATACTAGCTGTGCTGCATCATGACCCCCCTCCTAGGTAGGTCGTGCACTGGCGCGAAAGCAGCCTATAAAAGGCTACCGTATCTGCATTGGAGATAGTATTTAATCTTGCGTAGTGTGTCGACCAGTGTCAATTCCGTCTAGTATCGCCGATCGTTCCCGTCTAGTATGCCAACCAGGACGGCTTACGAAGGACGAGCACCTCGTTGCAACCCCAAGTAATTGCCAAGGAACCGACGACCCGACATTTCAAGGTCGCAGTACCCGATCACTCAACTGGAGCTCCCGGACCGGTGAACCCAACAGCTGATCAGAAAAGCAACATCAGAAGAGTTTGACAGCAGATGCAGTTGCATCAGAAAATAGTTTCCATATGAAATAACAAAAATCAAAAGCGCATGAAAAAACGAGGAATCCGGACCACCATACGCTGCTGCATCATAAAATTTTCGACTCATATCATGCCTTTTACAGCAGAAACAGTAATTCTTTTCTATCAAAATTAATGTTTCACAGCAAAAAGGCAAAATGCGCGGGAAAATTGAGCAAAAATTTTCTTAAAAAACTAAAAAAGAAAAAAAAAGCAAAATTAACAAAATGAAGGGATGTCGGGGATGAAGAAAAATGAATCATACCAGGTTAGAATCTTAATTTCACAAGTTTGGCTTACAGAAATACGAATTAATCGGAGAATCAAGGAAAGAAAGATAAGAATGATGAATGTTTAAAGAAGAAAAATAAGAAATTGAACTAAAAACGAGAAGTTAAGGCGTTTCGGTCCATTACCTACTGTCTGTTAGATGAACACATTATTTTAACGGTATTATTTTGTCAACAATTGGACGAGACCGAAACAAAAACCTCATTATTTTCGACGAGGAAAAACCACCTTACCAAATATGAAACAAGAAAATGACACATATTTTTATCAAAACTCGAATTTGAAAAAAAAAATGATTTTTATCAATTTCCAAATTTTCGACGAGGAAAAAACTACCTTACCAACCACGAAGGAGGAAAATGACACTTATTTTTGTCAAAATTCGAATTTGAAAAAAAAATGATTTTTATCAATTTCCAAATTTTCGACGAGGAAAAAAACTACATTACCAATCAAGAAACAGAAAAATGACACATATTTTTATCAAAATTCGAATTTGAAAAAAAAACAATTTTTATTAATTTCCAAAAAAAAAAACACCTTGCTATGTCGATTTTCTGAGGTTGGTTTTGCTTCAAAGCGTAATCGATAGTTCGTAACAAGTACTCGTCCATTCACTTTACCCACTGGTGACATATATCCTATATTTGTCTCTAAAAAATCATTTCAGTGAAAAACGGCATATATCCTCTATCCTATGTATGAAGCTTTAATCTTTTACTGTCTGCTAAATCACCAAGTTCGGCTCGGCTCCTACCAAAATCGCCATGGTTATCATGGGAATCGATGTGGAACCCTAAATCCCTGCCATCTTCACTGCGTACATGTTCCTGTTTCTACAAGATAGGTGGGATGGAATAAGAAAATTAAAGTTTAATATTCCATATGGAGTATGCTAATACGCATGGTGGGGATTGGGAGACAGTGTTATCGCGACCCTAACAGTAG